CAGTTAGATCGATGTACGGTCGGCTGATCATGCGTCGTTTTGACAACGTTCATTGGCAGTCGATGGTGGTGGTCGACAGACGACTGTTGGTCAAGTCCGACATTCTTGTAAATTATTTTCAATACAACGACTAGATCTCTGGCCATCATAAACCGCAGATGACTATGATTTAAGGAATGCGTATCTCATACAGTCACCAATATCCTTTTTCCTTTATATGAAGATACCTATTTAATATAAAACTTCTCTAAGTTGAAGAAAGTATATTATATTAAAGAATAATATTAGAATATTCCTTGTCATGGCTTTTACCAAAGGATACTACAAAAATAATAGTTAAGTGATAAAATTATAGGTGTGTTTGTTTAGTATTTTGGATAGTATTTTTTAAAAAGTAAGAGTTCGATGGTAATAACAATGTAGGTTTTGAAAATTAACAAAAACACCCACTAGGTTTGTTAATTTACTAAACACCCATGTAATAAAAACATTAAAAATTACAAAAACATCCCCACCCAACCATTAAATATCGACAGCCGGCCACCACCACCGGAGGGTGGCCAGATTCGCCTTATCGATGCACGATCGATTGGATCTGGCCCATCGTGTGCCTAGATGGCCTTTTCCAGCCAGATCTATAATTAGATCTGGCCATTGATTGTCAAATCTAACCACGTTTGGTCGTCAATGACGGCCAAAGATATGGCTGTCGTTGATGGTCAATGATGGCTAAATATGGACGTCGTTGACGACTTGTACCGACTAGATCCAATTAGTAGTGCACTATTATATCATATTCCGACCACCTTCCAACGGTGGTAGCCAGAATCTGACAAATGTAAGTGGATGGAGGTGTTCTTGTCAATTTCTAAACTTTTTTGGGGGGGTGTTTAGTTAAATTAACAAACCTAAATGGTTTTAAAAATAATTGAATAAAATATAATAGTATTTAAAAAAACAAATGTGTATTTTGGAAATGATAGGAATAGGATAGGGCAAAAATAGGGATACAAACACACCCATAGATAGTTACATAATTAAACAATTAAGTATTGAAAATTACTTTAAAGTTGCTTCGCAACTTAACCAACACAAAGTGTTGCATCATAATATTAATTACATGTAAATAATCATAATTGTTGTTCATTAATTTATAAAATGAGCACAAAAACACTTATTTTTACAATGTTAGAGTATAGCTAAACTGATAGTCACTTGTAATTAAGAACATTTGCTAAACTCACGGAAAATACTTTATTTACATGTAACTAACAACACAAATGAACTTTAGTTCCAATCCTGAGTTTGCTATTTGAGCACAAGTTTAGAAACCTATTAAGTAGCACAATTTAAAGAATTTTTTATTCAACTCAATTATCTCTTCTGTTGATGCATGATTTTTGACACCAACTAATCGACACATGCATAACGTTGATTGGTCAAGAGACACACGTGATTATGGATAAAATGTAGAGTAAATGCAATGAGAGCTTTTTAAAGTGGTTCGGATGCTAAGGTAGCAAGTCCTACGTCCACTGATATTTGTATTAGTATTGTGGGTCAGGTCGCAACAGCGGACTGACTTACAAATGATTAGGGAAATATAAATACAAAGGTACAAGAGAGAGAGAGAGAGAGAGAGAGAGAGCTAGTTCAGAATGTAAAATAGTCGAATCCCCTTAATGAAGGGGTCTTCCTCTTCTTATAGTGAGATGAGTGCAAATAATTATCATTAAATCCATGGGTTGGTGTGAATGTCAGGACAAAATCCGGCTTCACGTCACATTGCCCACCTTCCAAGTTGATTTCACGCGATTTGGAGCAGAGAAATGGACATGTGGGAGCTCCATAGCGTTTGGCAGGCCTGACGTGTGCTTACCGTTTTGACGGGAGCAGGTCACACCCCATCACGTGATTTCCCATGTCAACCCTTGATTTCCCAGGCGTAACATCTTCTTCACAACGTCACCATTGCAAATCATAAACCACTTTCGTTACTCTCTTAAATTTAATCTCTCTTTCAAAATATTTGTTGATAAACAAATTTGTCTTTATTTTACAAAGAGTAGGGCCACTGATAAATTAGTTGGGCTTCAAAGACATCCCCTTTTCAATGATTGTTTTGGGCCGGGCAGCCCCAGATTTAAACTGTGTCTCAAGTCAAATGAATGCCAGAGTGCATGACGAAACAAAACTAACAGGATTGCTTTATTTTAACGATTAAGTGAAAATGAGATTACTCCGTAGCGCTGTCTACGCAAATGGCTTTTGTAGAAGAGCCAGATTTATGAGCAGCAATTGTACAAGGACAGTGATGAGCTTTGGAGATGGAAGTCATGGAGCACTGGGTCTGCCTACGTCATTAACCGGCATTGGCGGCGATGCTTACGAGCCCACCGTTGTTCCTGGCCTACCCTCCGATATTTCTACTGTTAGTGCAGGTCACTACCACTCTCTTGCCGTCACTTGCAGTGGAGCCCTCTGGGCTTGGGGCCGCAACAACGAAGCCCAGCTTGGCCGCGGTCTTCTTGCTCCCAGGTCAATCATAATTTAATGTTAAGTTTGATTTAATAATATGTTTCTTCAATATACCTGCCAACTGTTTGTGTTTGGTTGTAAATGAGTTAATTTCTCCTCGCAATATCGTATATTCGAGCTTTTTTATGTGCGGCATTGCAAAAGATTAAAAATTTGTGATGAATTGGATGTGAAGAAAAGAGAGAAAAGTGTTGGGTTTATAAATTGGGAGAAAGTCATATTAATTCCATTTGTCTGAAAAGCTTGTGAATTTGAAGTGTGAACTCAAAAATCAAATTGATCACACGGGAAACTGAAAAGTAAAATAAATTATTAGAATCTTCAATTAATTCTGTAAAGGAACGTGGGATCTTGACCTGGCTTTCTTGGAAAGGCATGTTGTTGTGCACATTCTTTTCTAAAATAAATGTGCAAGAAAAGTATGCAAGATCATTGCACTGCCTATTGTCATTTAATATCTCTATTTTGACAAGTCACCTATATTTGATAGAGAGAAAGCTTAGAATACAGGCACAAACCAATCAAAGGTTTACAAATTAACAATGACACCACAACCACCAAGAGGACAATCGGTCGCTAGCCACCATCGCCAACCAGTAGCCAGAAGTAGTCGGAATGGCGTAAGATTGATTGGATTTGGTCGGTTGTACACCAATCTGGCTGTTAACAATAGCCAAATCTACAGCCAAATCAACAACTAGATCTCTAGCCAAATCAGCGATTAGATCTTTGGCCATCATTAACGATTAGATCGATGCACAGTCGGCCGATCGTGTGCCGTTTCGACATCGTTCATTGGCGGTCGATGGTGGTGGCCGGCAGACGACTGTTGGCCAAGTCTGACATTCTTGTAAATTGTTTTAAATACAACAACTATATCTCTGGCCATCATTAATCGTGGGTGACTATGATTTAATGAATGCCTATCTCATACAGTCACAAATATCCTTTTTCCTTTATATGAAGATACCTATTTAATATAAAACTTCTCTAAGTTGAAGAAAGTATATCATATTAAAGAATAATATTAGAATATTCCTTGTCATGGCTTTTACCAAAGGATACTACAAAAATAATAGTTAAATGATAAAATTATAGGTGTGTTTGTTTTAGTATTTTGGATAGTATTTTTAAAAAAGAAAGAGTTTGATGGTAATAACGATGTAGGATTTGAAAATTGACAAAAACACCCATTAGGTTTGTTAATTTACTAAACACTTATGTAATAAAAACATTAAAAATTACAAAAACATCACCACCCAACTATTAAATATCGACAGCCGGCCAACACTACCGGAGGGTGGCCAGATTCGCCTTATCGACGCACAACCGATTGGATTTGGCCGATCGTTGCCCTAGATGATCTTTTCCAGCCAGATCCCCAATGGATCTGGCCAGAAAAGGCCAAATCTATAGCTAGATCTGGCTATTGACTGCCAAATCTAGCCGCGTTTGGTCGTCAATGACGGCCAAACACATGGTTGTCGTTGATAGTCAATGATGGCCAAGATATGGACATCGTTGACCATTAGCTACGACCAAAGATTTGGTCGTTGATGGCCAGATCTTTGGCCGTAGATTTGGCATTTTTTGGCCATATCCACGGTGGATCTGGTTGGAAAAGACTATATCGGCGCACTATCGGCCAGATCCAGCTGGTAGTGCACCATTATATCATGTTATGGCCACTTTCCAGCGGTGGTGGCCAAAATCTGACAAATGTGTGTGGATGGAGGTGTTTTTGTCAATTTCTAAACTTTTTTTGGGGGGTGTCTAGTTAAATTAACAAACCTAAAGGGGTTTAAAAATAATTGAATAAAATATAATAGTATTTAAAAAAAACAATTGTGTATTTTGGAAATGATAGGAATAGGATAAGGCAAAAATAGGGATACAAACACACCCATATATAGTTACATAATTAAACAATTAAGTATTGAAAATTACTTTAAAGTTGCTTCACAACTTAACCAACACAAAGTGTTGCATCATAATATTAATTACATGTAAATAATCATAATTGTTGTTCATTAATTTATAAAATGAGCACAAAAGCACTTATTTTTACAATGTTAGGGTATAGCTAAACTGATAGTCACTTGTAATTAAGAACATTTGCTAAACTTACGGAAAATACTTTATTTACTTGTAACTAACAACACAAATATGACTTTAGTTCCAATCCTGAGTTTGCTATATGAGCACAAGTTTAGAAACCTATTAAGTAGCACAATTTAAAGAATTTTCTATTCAACTCAATTATCTCTTCTTCTCAACGTCACCATTGCAAATCATAAACCACTTTCATTAGTCTCTCTTTCAAAATATTTGTTGATAAACAAATTTGTCATTATTTTACAAAGAGCAGGGCCACTGATAAATTAATTGGGCTTCAAAGACATTTCCCTTTTAAATGATTGTTTTGGGCCGGGCAGCCCCAGATTTGAACTGTGTCTCAAGTCAAATGAATGCCAGAGTGCATGACGAAACAAAACTAACACGATTGCTTTATTTTAACGATTAAGTGAAAATGAGATTACTCCGTAGCGCTGTCTACGCAAATGGCTTTTGTAGAAGAGCCAGATTTATGAGCAGCAATTGTACAAGGACAGTGATGAGCTTTGGAGATGGAAGTCATGGAGCACTGGGTCTGCCTACGTCATTAACCGGCATTGGCGGCGATGCTTACGAGCCCACCGTTGTTCCTGGCCTACCCTCCGATATTTCTACTGTTAGTGCAGGTCACTACCACTCTCTTGCCGTCACTTGCAGTGGAGCCCTCTGGGCTTGGGGCCGCAACAACGAAGCCCAGCTTGGCCGCGGTCTTCTTGCTCCCAGGTCAATCATAATTTAATGTTAAGTTTGATTTAATAATATGTTTCTTCAATATACCTGCCAACTGTTTGTGTTTGGTTGTAAATGAGTTAATTTCTCCTCGCAATATCGTATATTCGAGCTTTTTTATGTGCGGCATTGTGGGTGGCCTTGTTTTTTCTGGGGTTAATTTATTATACTTTTATAGTCTTTTTGTTTTTTTTTTTTTTTAAAAAAGGAAAGGTGTGTTAGTATTGAATGTGCAAGTTCTTAGTGGATGGGTTCTCATCCGTGGTATGAATTTTATAGAAGATAAATTACTGAGTGAAGGTTTTTATTATAAGCAGAGACACGTGGAATGAACCGAAGAGAGTAGAAGGGCTGGATAAAGTAAATGTTTGTGGTGCATTTGCATCTGGTGTCATCTCTTCGGCCATTGGAGATGATGGCTCTTTGTGGGTTTGGGGAAAGTCTAAACGTGGGCAGCTTGGTCTTGGAAAAGGTATTACAGAGGCCACGGTGCCTTCAAGAGTTGAACCGCTTGCAGGAGAAAAGATAGTCAAGGTGGGCTCCTATGCTCAAGTTAGAGAATGTTAGTGGCGCGAATTCTATATGAACATAACATGCCTTAATTATCCTGCAAAGATGTGGAATTTATCAAGTGCATCTTTCTTTGACAGGCATCATTTGGTTGGGGGCATGCTCTAGCACAAACTAAGGATGGAAAATTGTTCGCTTGGGGTTATTCAGCTGATGGTAGAATAGGAAAGGTGGGTGAAGCAGCTTTGGAGAGGTCTCCGCTAGAATCAAATATATATGTATATGAAAGTAACCAAGAAATCTCTAGTTTAACAATTGATGCTGCAGAGAAACTTGTCTTAGAAAGAATGGAGAAGGAGAAAGATATGCCAATAATATGGGAACCTTGTTTGGTAGAAGATTTACATGGTGTTGAAGCTGTAGACATCGCTTGTGGGCTTGATCATTCGTTGGTTCTTTGCCGTAAGTAATAGTTATGTTCATTCAAGTGCTTGTAGTCATGTAGGTACGCAAGCTGTGTTTATTCGGTTTGTTTGGTTTCAGGTAATGGCAACCTCTTAAGCTGTGGAAGCAATGCATATGGTCAATTGGGCAGAGTGAACCAAGATATGGGAATGTATCCAGTTGATGTAAACTTCCACCCGGCGTCTGTAGCATCAGGCCTTGGCCATTCTTTGGCAATTTGCCAAGTATCATCATCAAATGTTACAGGAGATTCCACAAGCCTTGTTTCATGGGGATGGAACCAGAGTTGTCAGCTGGGAAGAGCAGGACCGGAGAACATTCCATCGATGGTTAACGGTTTGGAAGGGGAAAGTCTTGTTTCAGTTTCAGGAGGTCGTGCACATTCCATGGCTCTCACATCAAAGGGAGAACTATGGATATGGGGTTGTGGTAAAAATGGTCGGCTTGGATTAGGTAGCTCCATTGATGAACCTGAGCCAATGTTGCTTGATTGTTTAGAAGGGTGTGAAATTTTGCAAGCAGTTTCAGGTTTTGATCATAATCTAGTCCTGGTAGCCGAATAATCTACCCTGAAACTGAGTAGCTATTTGTTTTTTGTTTATATATATATATTTGAGAAATTTAGGTGGGATGAGCTACAAAATGCAATTGATCTAATAATACAATACAATTTTATGTACACGTTTTTCTCAATTAGTCAATACCATGATTGGTAATTGTGACCTCGTAAATTTGTAATAAAAATTTGAATGATAATAGAGTATCTGAATTTAACATTGTCAAGTTAAATAACTACATTAACTATCCGTTGGCAATGGAATTTTATGAATTAATATGATATTATTTTCGTGAAATTTTAAGATTTTGTATTAATAACTTATATAAGTTAAATATTGGGAACCAATCACGAACTCAATTTTGTTTGTAATTAAATGTACTAATTTACTTGTCATAGAAAGATATCATATTATTATTAATTATTTTAAATTTTAATAAACAATAAATGATTTATTTATTTATTTTCTTTTCTGTTTAAAAAAATGAGAAATAAAAATTATCCGAAAGAAAAGAGAACAGGAAATATAAATTAATAAAATTGTTTTTGTTTTAGTATGTAATTCCAAAACAAATCCAAATATCCAATCACTCCAGATGTCTAATGCTTACCGAGTGCGTGAGAGACTTTCGATCTAAATTCTAATACGAAATTCTCCGCCGCCGTTTCCGTCTCCGGTGGACTATCATCGCCACTCTGTAAGAAGAGAAATAGAAACAAAGATGCTTGAAAACCCTTCACAAGCTGCAACTGCACCAGCCGACTCCGCTCCAGTTATTAAACGCTACGCTCCTCCCAATCAAAGGTCTTCTTTTTCTCTTCTCTTCTCTTCTCTTTGATTCACCTTTAATCGGATTCCTCACTAACTGTTTTGCGAAAATAATAGCAGGAGCCGTCCTCTGAATCGGCGAAAATCTGGAGGTCAGTGTTTTCATCTGCTACTTGTTTTGTTTTTTGAGTATTCTGTTGATGCACAAATTACCTGAAATTGTTAAATTAGATTTATTTTTTGAATCATAATTACCCAAAAAACAAAAGAGAGAGAGAGAGAGAGAGAGAGAGAAATTTCATTGTGATTAGTAGGCTAGGTTTTGTTATTTTTTCAAGATTAATTTGATTAGAAAGTCGACCATGCGTTCAATTCGCATAAGCATTGATTTTATGGTAATTTGGCTTTTTATTATGGTGTGCATTGTTGTTAATATATTTTAAGGCTGATGCTGATTTAATGACTGCCAAATTAAGTGTTATTTGAATGCAACTGATTAGTTGATGCTTTGGTGGATCGAGTTGCCCAAGTTAAATAAATTGGAGGTTTTGGTCGAAATTTTGTTGACGTGATGCATTAATGACAATATCTTATTTGGTGGATACTAAACTTAATCTTGCTGAACTAAGATGTTCATTTCAGCAGTACTTTTCTCAAGTATGACTTGCGTATTTAGGAGAGTTTCTATCGTGGGCTGAGTTAATTAAATTTTGCAGGGTTTTATGGTAACGACGGAGAGAAAAATCAACTTGCCACTTCCAGAAACAATCCTGTCATTGATCATGGGGATGCAGGAAGTAGTGCTCTTCTGAATGATTACTCCCGGCCAAAATTAATTCCTCTAGAAGGGTTTTGTAGAAGTGAAGCTGCTCAGCTTTTAAGAGATCGTATGTGTCTATTGCAGTTTCTTTTAAAATATTATTAAGGTTTTCAATGGAATGTCACCCTCTTGTTCTCCCTTGACTTTGTTTTTGTTTTGTGTATTCCAAAAAAGGTGGGAAAGGTATTACAGTGTTTATTGTGTCTTTTTATTGATACAAGGTTTTCAACATGGTGACTAGAAATAGATTGAACCAATTAGGTTTCACTGTGTAAATCAAGTTCCATCTTTCTTTGTCCCTTGTTTAGCAGTGCTGTGCTATAATTATTGATCTTTCTACATTGTTAAAACTAAAAGTGAAAACCTGACTCATAATCAACACCCCTTCCCTTTTCTGAAGCTAGGGATTTTTTTTTTTTTTTCTCCAAACAAATGACAGTGATTTGGTGATTTTCTTCCTTATATCTCTTAGAAAGTGAAGTCAGATATCTTAATGTTTCTTAACAGTTTTAGCCAGTGTTTCTAGAGGTTTGTGAATTATTTTCTTTTTGATGTTTAATAGGTCATATAAAAAATTGTTATTTTCTGCACCTATTCAATATTTTGCTTATTATATTTGAAATGAGGGACCAAGGTATGGACTTTTGTCCTGTAGTTATATTATTAGCAACCTGTTCAACTGCAAAAATATGGTAGCTATAAACCAAGATGCATATATATGACCTCAATTTGAAGTGGGATGGGATCCTCATTTTTATTAAATTTTCATTAATCTTGGACCGGTTAAATATAGTTGTATCTAAATGAACTTATTTCTGATGCCCACGAATCCTGAAATCTGTATTTTAGTACAAAATGGAAGTGTGATTGAATTTTGAGTTGGATTGATGATTTTGAAGCTGTATGTATGCTATTTTTTTTTTTTTTTTGGTAAACTTTGTAACTGAATCATTCTTGTATCTTCTAATGCAGGTGGAAGGGCTGTAATGAATCGCTACCATGACACATCAATAGATTTATCTGGTGAGTAGAAGAACTTCAATTATTTTAGGTTGTTTGACTGGTTTGTGAGTTACTGCATGGGTATCTTTCATCTGTTTTTATTTGACTGGTTTTTCAGTTAGTAAATGCATATTCATGAACACTTATCTTACTACTCATTCTAGTCCATCTTGAAGCTTTTGTGCTTGTACACGAGGTATAACTGCACAATGGTGCACAAATGTTAAAAAAAAAAAAAAAAAAAAAAAATAATAATAATAATAATAATTAAATTCTATTAATATAGTTGATTATTTTATGCTTCTGGTATTCACATAACTAGTGTGGCTTTGATGTCTCTGGAGATTATTTTAGTTTTTGCCAATCATTTTGCATTCTTCCAATTTCAGAAATTATAGCTGCATAATTTTATAATTTGATGAACTAAGATGGAAAATGGTTCAGAATTTAAGTTGTTTGCGGTACTGCACATCCATGCAGACAAACATATATTGTTATTAGGCTGACTGATTGATCATTATTCACATTGAACCATATTTCAGAAAGACCAGTTCTGTACTCAAGTGGCCCATCAGCATGGGGACAATTTAGACTTCCCCATCAGGTAAACACAAGAATTTTTTCATTCTCTCTCTCTTACTCAGTCCGCTGTGTCTCTCTCTAATATGATTTTCCTTTGTATTGTATCTCAGATGATGTCTGCAGCAAACAGTATAGGAACTTCTGGCACACATATGGACTTCTTGGCTGAACTTCGCCGTAAAATGCAGTCTCCAAGTGCAAGTTTTGACAACTAACAATGACAGGGATGAAATTTATGTTTGGATTTGGAATTTAAAAAAAAAAAAAAAAAAAAAAAATTCTCTGATTATTATTTGCCCTAGAGCACCAGTTGTACGTGTTCATTAATTTTGCAAAAGGTGCTTACTTGTTTCCGTGATTTATGTGGCAACAGTGGAGTCCTTAAATGTCGACTTGGATGATCAGACTACTAGGCATGTACTGCTTTTATGTGATTGATATGACAAAAGCATGGTTTACACAGTGACTTACAAAAAATTGATCATGCCACAAAGGATGAATGCTTTTTTATGTCCCAATGTTTGTTGTCTGTAGATACATGTCTTGCTGTTGTGCAGTGTTCTTGTGTTCGAATTGGCATAGAATCGTTATGTTCTCTTTCTATGTATGTAACATTATTATTATTATTATTATTTTGGAGGTGAATTTATCAATAATGTCTGAACATATCCATTATTTATGCCCATTTGTTCAAAACCAGACCCTTCGTATTAGTATATGATGCATTCAAATTTGTGAGTCCACGAATAAAATTATCAATCCTTTATATTAAGGTATGAGCTGTAGGGTCCAAATGTAATTACACCGATCCTGAGAAATGTAGATGTGTTCAACACCAATGGAATGCTCAGCTCATTAGTCAATCATATGGTGAGGCTTAATAATTGAATATTAGCAATTTTTACATTAATCGGCAGGTCGTAATTGAATCTTCAAACAAAAATGTTATACATGACTTTGAATGAATCTACAAATTTATGAAGTGAAGAGATTATTCTTGCCACACGGGAATGATTCCTTGAGCTGCCAAGCGCTTTTCAATCCAGAACACAACATGCTTTGATGTGATTTTCTTCTCATCAATCAGAAATGGCTCCACAGTGCTTGCTTCTGAACCATAGGACGACAATGAAAACCCTTTTGGACCTGCCCAAACACAGAATTACAGTGAATGTTCATCAGAAACAGATAAATATTGAACAAGTCTAATTCAACCTGCTGCACAAACCTGTGAGGACTCCATTGGGGAAGAATGCCCAAAAGGAATAGATATTGCCCTTCTTTATAAATGAACCTTCCAACTGTTATTTTCAATAAGCAAACTCAAAATGTTGATTTAAAACATTTCTTAAATGTGAAAATGGAGTAATACTACATGTACAAACTAATATGAAAATCCTGCATGTTTGACATATCATCAATTCTAGCTGTTTAAATTATCTTTATTTTAAAATCATACAATCAGTTTGTATGTAAGTTTATATAAGGAGTTTATACATATGGTATTAAGGATTAGAATGATGCCTTATTGTCTTGGAAAGATAGTTCAATGTTGGATAGATCTTCTTGAGCTTCGAGTATTGCTTTGAGTGAAGGGATCACGTCTTCCTCCATCATCTGAGGCAGCGGTTTTGCAGGAGCCTTTGCAGCTCTTGCTGCAGGTTTTGGCTTTTCCGGAGCTTCTTTCTCCTCCGTTTTCACCTCCTTTGTTTCAGCAGCAACTAATAGCATAAACAACAAAAAAATTTCTAACTTAAGCCACAGCTTGAAGCTACTTTGCATATAAAAGCAGCAAATTTAACTGACCTGCGGAAGTAGAAGTTTCTTGCACAGCTGAGCAAGCAATATATCCACGCAAAGTTATTGATTTACAAACCATTTGCTGCAGATAAACCAAATACGCCAACTAGATGAAGAGCATGAATAAAACCAATGCTTCATGATGATTTAGTATTCTCAAAGAACAAAAATTAACTTCCCTCTTCAAGGCTTGAAACAAAAATTCATTTCAGTAATTCCCAATTAAGCATAACCAATTTCAAATCCCAACTACATGGGATTTTTTAACACTTCATCATCTAGTATTTTCAAATGTGTTACAGCAAAAATTAGTCGCTTCCAGTTATCCAAATATTGACAGAAAGCAAAAGTCAAGAACTAAAAAACAGACATTTTTGACAATGAAGTTAAAAGAGTTTACTTTTTTAATACCAAAAAGTTTAAAAATTGCTACAAATATGTGACACAAATAGAATCGTACCAATGAGATTGTGGAGGATAAGGGTTTGACATTCCTGCAAAAGTATGAAGATGATGGAAAGCTAGAAACTGCTACAGCTCTTCCTCCGACTACTGCCATATCCACCATTAAAATCTAAAAGAGGAAAAACAAATTGAAAATCTTTTGTTAGTAGACTGTGTGTGTATTTCTTTTATTTTATCTAATCATCACAGAAATTTCTTTTTATTATTTTATCTTCAGTTCTGTACTAGTTTTAATTTGAGACAAAAGGAGAGAGGGAAATGCAGTTGAAGTTATGGTAGAAGAAGAGAAGCCACTGAAGGAGAGTGCGACACAAGAGAATGGATCCCTCTCATCCACATGAAGTCCTGGAAAATATATGCCACTGATTTCTTATATTTTCTTTTTCTTCTTTTTTGGATTATTTTTGTAATATATATTTTAGTTGATAAGAAAATTAATTTAGAGTAATGGTGTCGACTGTAGAGGTGGATATTGTCTGAATTTGTGGTCCAGCAACTGCCAGTCAATCTCATAGTCATAATCCCATGCATGGGCTTAAATTTCAATATTTATTTATAATTTTTTGAAATAAAAATATATATAGTTTTAATGTGTCTGAAGAATATATTGGGGCTTAAGTTCAAGTAGATAATGTATGGTATAAGCAATAAAATAGTTTTTATTTTAATACCCATATTTCCTTCTCTTATTTTATTGCCTACCAATTCTTTTATATATATGTTGAAGTGTAGCCCTTTTTGGGATTGTATTAAGAAGTTAAAATCAAACTTTAATAATTCTTTGGGAATTGGAGTCTGCATGATATACTTTATGGAGATCAACTTCAAACAGCATCCAGATTCTAACCAAGGATGGTCTGGCTTTATACACTTCGGCCGCCTGCAATTAAGAGACTTACTAAAGAAGAAATATTGACCATAAGCCCAATATTTTTGGCTGCATTTAAACTTTAAAGTGTAACAAAATTTCCTGCATCAATTTACAAGGGGTTAAAACTTAAAAGACCATGAAGTTTTTGGCTACCCATAAAGTTTCTTTTCATCACTAATTTTGGAGCTATAGCATAAATGATATACAAATAAAACCGGAACCAAGTCCCATGAATACTTCTGTTTTGAATATTGAAAATTATTACAAGCCCGTCTGATTATAGAAGAACTCATCATCAAAGTTTTGCAGCTTCCCAGAAGTTGTTGCCAGTGTCCCTCTGCAAAGATTCAACAAGTTTGATGTCTGAAGTTGCTAGTCCAACATTTCCGAATTCGGACTATTTTCACCCTTAACATCTCTTGCCTTGTCAGCTCAAGGACCCTCGATGTATCTTTTAGTGCAATTATTTCAGCTTTTAGGCTTGTCGTTGGCTCTGTTGTTTCATTTCTTGATTATCTTACAACTAAGAAGTAAAGAAAAATACAGTAATTGGAATCCAAACCAACAAAAGTTGATTCAATAGACACCTTAAGATAAATGTTATATATGCTCATCGAAGATGCCACACAAAGTAGGCTTCTGTCGGAAGAACATACCATGTTATGCTTATGAAGTAGATATGACGATCCCACCTCTGTTGAGCACAAAAATTGAAACATCTATAAGCATGAATGATGAATGCCATATTCATGGATACTAATTTTTTTATAAATAAAAACAGATTCCAACCTATCCTGAAGAGCCATAGTCAGCTGTCTTTATATAATCTGCAAATTGTAGAGCAGGCAAAATGATATTCTGATAGAGAAGGAAAAGGAAATTCAGAAAAGCTTTCTTGTTGATTTAGTGATAAGAATGAGCTGTCGCAACTAGATTAGGTCTAGGAACATCTTTGTTTCTTTGAACTGGTTCTTTTTCTTGTTGAGATGGAACTAGTGGTCAACTCTTTTTGCTTAAATTTCTGAACCATAGTGTAGACCTGGATCAGAAAGACAGTTTTAAGGCAAATCAGCAACAAGCAAATTCATGGACAATGAAAAAAAATTAAATGTAAAATCGAACATGTAAGAAAAAACAGATTTAAATAAACACTTATGGATTACTCTCTGAATTGTCCATGAAAGACCCTTTAAAAGAAGCAAGTGGATTGTGTGCATCACTACCTTGTGCTACCAATGTAACCTCTCATTAATTTGATTAGAGAAGTTACCACATTACCTTCCTTACTCCCGATGTCAATCCCATGCTTGAAAGTGCATTGCTTTCCACACATTTCCAAGTTATAGTTCCTTTGTCCTGTTTCTCAAACCAGTCATTTGTCCCGCCTTCATTCCAACAAATACCCGAAAAGGATATAGACAAAATGAAAGGAGCAAATTCACACATGTATTCAACTTAAATGTGAGAATTTTTATGTTCAAATTTCTGGAGATAGATGAAGGGAGGAGATGGAGTAATGAGGCTCATACCTTTAAGCCGTAGTATCAACAACTCCACATGAATCTTAAGACGAATGTGAGAGAATACATGAACAAATTCTCCAACATCTTCTCTCAAAACTATGCTACAGTTTTTTTTGGGATCAAGATTGAATGATTTCTTTAAAAAGCTGTCAGTGGCTTTTCTCCTCGTGGTTAAGTTAGCTTCTTCTTTCAAGATGATAGATGGGAACTCCCAAAGACCAGCAAGCAAACCTTCATCTGGTCTCTTTACCAGAAGAAATACACTGTTAGGTTGCTTTTCCTCAGATTCATCTTTGGTTTCCAATATCTCCACAACACAAGCAGAAGAAATATCATGCCTTTGTTTGGTTTTTACCACCTTAGTAGGAAAATCCGTGACCAGAACTGAGTTATCATGTTTGGACATAGATAATGCACGACACTGGGCTGAAACTGGACAGGACGTGCAATCTGGGTTCAAAGGAGTGCATATCACTGCTCCAAGTTCCATAAGAGATTGGTTGAAATCCCCAGGCCGGCAAGGATCAACAAGTTGGGCTGCTAGTGCCCTGTTCAAGAGTGATTTAAATGCAGTAAATGTAAGAGAGCATTGATCAAAATCATGATGCTATTTTCAAATTTGTCACATAATGCCAAATGCAACTCATATAAAGATACCATTTGAGCATAAGCTTTGTAGAGATTAGCCATTACAAAACTTTATGTGACAAGACATAACTATAAAACAAATCCCCAATATTAGTAAGCTTAGAAATGCTCCATGTCACACAGACATGAATGAAAAGAAACTAGTTCACAGTAAAACCAGTACAAGGAGGGGGAGGGGGTTGGTAATATGGATATCAATGTTTCTTCAAATCATCATGTTGGAGTACCATGAAAATAATTAAAAAAGAGAAGACAATATATGTGACAAAAAATAATTGAAACTGTTCCCACCTAAAAAGACAAAAAGTGATCAAATAGAAAGTGAAACAATCATGAATGCTCACCAAAATTTCTTGACAGTCAGTGAGTCTTTCGGATTGGCAGAAATGGCCTTCTGTCTTGAAAGCACCCTTATAACATTTCCATCGACCACAGGCACCACCTGAAACAGAAGTCTCAGAATATTTCCCCTTAAATAATTCAGAAAAGAATGCAGAACCCACTAACCTCTTTGAATGCGATGGAGGCAATTGCTCCAGCCGTATAGTTACCTATTCCTGGAACCTTCCGTAAGGCAGAAACTGTACCAGGAAACCCACCTCCCTCGGCAACAATCATCTTTGCTCCCTAGAATTATGAAAAAAGGTAGCTATAAAATTAAACCATGCTTCACTGTAACACCAAGGAAAGAAGTTCTAGGCAATGAACACTCCATGTTATAAAGAACATGGTTCCCCCCTTCACCCCGAATCTCTCTCTTCCTTTCTAATTTCCCAGAACATCTAAATAACCTATTTCAGCTCTCAGTCTCTAGCAAAGAAAGGTCTTTTTTAAACTCATAAACAGAAACTGAACCCCTCCCACCTGCTATGAGTGAGATTCAATCCCAAGATCTCTCATGCAACGCCAAGAGATCCAACCAGCCAAACTAGCTAGTACCTACATCTCACAAAGGATGAGGACAAATGCAGCCAATGGAACTATGATCATCAACTATGCATAACAATGAATAAATTTTTAAGAAAAGACAAGATAGATGAGAGATTCTATTCAAATATACATTCCAAATTATCTCAAGTGACAATTTTTTTCCAACAATCAGCCACAAGTGTTCAATCATAACCCCTTTTTTAACTAAACTACTCTCACAACTAGGACAATTCAAACAATCAATATAAAATAAATAACAATCAAGTTTTTTCAACCATCCAAATAAAAACTTGAAAGGCATTTAAGCAAGCCAAGAACTATCCTCACCTCTGATAAAAAACGCGCCCTTCTATAATAACCTAAACCTGCCCACATCTCATTTACTTCCTGCACATAACATGAACAAAAACAATTTTAATGTACAAAAAAAAAAAAAATAAATAAATAAATAAAGATGAAAACCGAAACAATCTTTCACGGTAACAGAAATACCCAACAAGAGAATTTAACATTTTTTATTTTCTTTTTACCTGCCCACAACATAAACAACACTGTACAGAATAAGTTAAAAAAAATTCAATCTTTCACAATAACAAAAATACCAAACAAGAAAAATCAATCTTCTATAAATGCACCTCTAGAGAGGCCTCAGAGAGGTGATGAATGGTGGGCCATTTTTTCATCCAACGGTTGTAATACTCTATAACAGTCTGAACCCTGGTTTGCTGCAACATGACTTCTGATACCCACACACCATATGCTCTCCTTTCCTTGTCAAAATCACTTTCACTTTCACATTCACTTTCGTTTTCATATCTCCAAGGAAGCTCCCTCTGGTTCCTGTCGTACCATTGCAACAAAGATGTTCTTATCGTTTTCACTTCTTTATCGTTAAACAAATCTTCAATGTCTTCTGGGTTGTTCATTGTTAGAGTGAAAAGTGAGCTCTTTTGTTCAAATAAGGTGCTGTTCGTCAAGGCTATTGGTGAATAGTGTTTGAGTTCAGGACTCGACCACGCAAAAAACAGGGGCTTCTGCGACCAGACAAGTGAAGAGTTTGAATTCATATAAAGTGTTTTTATTGCGTTTTGTTGAGGACCTTCGTCGTCCAACTTAAATATCAATGAATGACTTGTCGGCTTTTGTACATGGAGCTCCGTAAACATTTCAGTTAAATATTTGAGAAAATTTACATACTAAAGAAGAAATATTGACCATAAGCCCAATATTTTTGGCTGCATTTAAACTTTAAAGTGTAACAAAATTTCCTGCATCAATTTACAAGGGGTTAAAACTTAAAAGACCATGAAGTTTTTGGCTACCCATAAAGTTTCTTTTCATCACTAATTTTGGAGCTATAGCATAAATGATATACAAATAAAACCGGAACCAAGTCCCATG